AGGTTCTCGGGGAAGATAGCAAACTTTTCTTGCCAAGGGTGCTGGCACAACCAATGGCTCCTTTTTGACATGTAGCCCAGGCAGACCTTTGTTGCTGATCTCTGCCATGTGGCCCACATCCTGGACTCTGAGGCACCTGCCAGACTTTCCTCATCTGCGTCGCATCCCCTCACTACCACGATCAGTCTTCTGCGTTGTAAGTGAGGAGCAGGGTCAAGTCTTCCCCAAATTATTGGCTATTGCCAACACAACAGGAGTGTATCTACACCTACCATGGAGGTGGGGTTGCCTTGAAAAAGTGACCTCAGGACATCCTCAAGAAGCAGCAACCAGGAGAAAGCAGGAGACTCCAGTAACACCAGACACTACAAGTTCTCTCTGATTTTTTGTCTTCAAACCTGAGGTAGGATACTTCTTTCCCTAATCATATTTATTGACCTGGATTCTCAAGTATGTCCCTTCCCTGAAAGCCTCACTCCATTAAAAATGAGTTCTTCATGCCACCTTTCAGGGACTATTTTAGCCACTCTTCCATGATACATCAACCAGGCTGGCTGGGAAATGTGTGGGTTGCTAGATGATGAAGAAGCCATCTTAGGGTACGTGGCCCAGCCCTACTCTCCCCTCCACTGTGAAAGCACCAAAATTAGCAAGGCCATGAGACCACCAGAAGATGGGCTTTCCGTAGAAAGGCTGTTCTATCCTTTATCTTAAGAAATTGAGGCTAACTGAACTCAACAGGAATGAGTTTTAGTACAACATTCTCAAGATAGCTTTTAGTGAACTGTGAATATTCTCAGCTTTTAGCATCATTATTTATGTGTTTATACCATATGTTATAGATTTAGAATATTCCAAATGTTTAAATAAACCAAATTAAAGTAAGTACAGGAAAGCTCCAAAGGAGTGAGCAAAATCATTTCTTTTGTAACTTTATTCTCTTTATTTTTTCCTAGGTCTTATTTATCTCTTCTGCTGCTGCACTGTATTAGTCAGGGTTCTCCAGAGAAACAGAACTGATAAATGATTTATTATAAAGAATTGGCTCACCCAAGTATGGAGGTTGAGAAGTCCCACAGTCTGCTGTCTGTAAGTTGGGGGTCCAGGAGAACTGGTGGTGAATTTCAGTACTAGTCTGAAGCCTGAGAACCAGGGGAGCCAGTGGTGTAAATTCCAGTGTGAGAGGGCAGGAGAAGATGGGATGAGATATCCCAGCTCAAGCTGTAAGGCAGGAAAAAGGGAGCAAATTCCTCCTTCCTCTGCCTTGTTCTATTCGAGCCATCAAGGGACTGGATGAAGCTCACCCACACTGGGGAAGGCAATTTACTTTACTGCATCCATTGATTCAAATGCTAACCTCATGTGGAAACACTTTCACAGACTCACCCAGAAACAATGTTTAATCTGGGCACTCCATTGCCCACTCAAGCTGACCCGTAAAATCAACCATCACTTGCACTAAAATGTTTTGAAAGGCATTTGCAACAGAGGAGCCAAACCTAGCCTCTTCACGTGTTGTTTCCAAGGTAATCTTCTTATCTCATATGTAAGCAATCTATGTAATTTTCAAAATACACTTTACTATATACTATTGACCATACAAGTAGAAAGCTGGGATAATGGTTTGTAGATAGACCTATTTTTACTGGCTATAATCTGAATGATTTCAAAGCTAAGTGAAAACATTGTAGTAGACTATATTCTTGTTGCTTGCAGTGAGTGCTCCCTTTGGGAGGAATAGGCATCCCTACCCCTCTCACATCAGACATGGTCATGTGACTTGCTCTGGTCAATGGCTTGTGAGCAGACAGGATGACTGTCATGTCTGAGCAGAAGCTTTAAGAGCCATTGAGTGTTTCTGCTAACCCTCTTGTTTTTCCCTTCACCATGAGTAAACCATGTCCCAGATAAAAGCTGCTTCTTCTATTTGGGTGCTGGAATGAGAAGACATGTAAAGCTGACTTGCAGATGACCCACAGCTGCCAACATGCAATATGAGCAAGAAACGATTGCTACTGGAAGCCAATGACATTGGGGTTTTGGTAAAATGGCCTGACTCCCTTCTGCAGGAATGAGTTTTAGTACTACCTTCTCAAGGTAGCTTTTGGTGAAGTATGAATATTCCTAGCTTTTTAACATCATTATTTATAAGTGTTTGTGCCATATGCTAAAAAAAAATTATTCTTTTGGATTTAAAATGTTTTAAAAACAGATAATTAAGATACATAAGTTTATTTTCTAAAGGAAGCATGTCTTATACTAAATTAAATATTAAAAACTAACAGAAATGAAATGTAGATTACATATTTATGATCAGAAATAACTTACATCGTTGTTCCATTTAAAAACTACTGGAGACTGGATCAAATAAAGATATCTTTCTCCCCTTCCGTGCCCCAAATTCCCAGATACATAAGAAATTTTTCAAGAGGACATTCATAATAGTGCTAAAAAACAATAGTTATATAAAGGCAAGAATTTTTTTCGAAAAGCCCTGAAAGAATGCAGGAAGAGGATCCCCAAACCTAAAGCATACTTAGAAGAGAATCGTCCCTCTACTCAAAGCAGCCACCAGCTCAATAATGCATCCTGTACGGCTTTCCTCACTTCTCTCTCTCACTCTTCCCACTTACTGGCTTCTGCTTTCTAAGATTATCTCCTAAATAAACTGCTTGTATCCCATTTTTTGTTTCAGGGTTCTCATATTGGAGGAACCCAAAAATAAGACCTGATGTTTCCCCAATATCTAGGGCCTCACTTCTAACTTCCTTCTCTCTCTCTCTCTCTTTCTCTCTCTCTCTCTCTTTCTCTCTCCATACTCTACCCAGCAGCACATTCACAATTAAACTCAGTGCGAGTACTTCAAACCTGTCTTCCAACTTCTCACTGACCCAGGCACAAAACCTCAGGTTCATCTTTGACCTTCTATCACATCTCACATATCCACTTAATTTCAAGTTCAGTCATTTCAACTTATCTAATTCATTCTCATCCTTCTACATTCTGCCCACTGCTGCCACCTTGGTTCAGGTCTCATACACTCATGCATGAATATTATTATAACGGGTTCCTGACTGATAACCCAAGTTCCCTTCTTTCCTCTGTATAATTTATCATCTAATTTTCCCAAAGCAAGCTCTGGTCATATTATTTAGCTTTACTCAAGAGGCTCCTGCAGCATCCAATGTTTATGCTACAAAATAAATCCCTCTTGATCTCAACCTACCTTTGCCGACAACTTTATTCATGTACCCCAAGAGCCTTTTAAACTGAACCACCCACCATTCACTCTAAAAGTTCCATGTTTTCCCACCTCTGTGCCTTTGCTCACTCTGTTCCCTAAACCTGGAAAGCTGTGACCCATCTTTCACCATATTCAAAACTTACCTTGGGTCAAATGTCATTTCTTCCAAGAAGCTTTCATTGATTCCCCCAAATAGAAACACTATCCCTCTCCTGATCTCCTATAGTACTTTTCTTGGGCACTCTAATCATTGTTTTAAATTAGAGTATAACTTACATGAAAATGTATAAATGTTAAACTTGATAAATTTTTACATATATTAGCACCCTTATAATCTCCCACCTAGATCAAGATATAGACCATTCCCGTGATCCCAGAAGGTTTCTTTGTGCCTCTTCCAGTCAAAACGGCCTTCCAAGAGTAATCTCTATTCTGATTCACCAAAGATTAGTGCTGCCTGTTTTTGTACTTCACTTAAATGGAGCCATATGGTATATACTCTTACCTCTGGCTTCTTTCACCCTGTATCATATCTCTGAGATTCACCCAGGTCATGTATATCAACTGTGTATTCTCTTTAAATTACAGAGAAGTAATTGTTAAAGTCCATTGTATAACTATACCACAATTTAACCATTTCACTATAGATGAACATTTTTTAGTGTTTTGGCTATTACAAATAAGGCTTCAGTGGAATTTTTGTACATCTTTTGTTGGGCATCAGCACTCACTCATTTCTACCCTCAGGAATAGAATTATTGGGTCACAGATATTTAGCTTAGGAAGTACTACCAGACATTTCTCCAAAGTGTTTATACCAATGTACATCCTACCAACAATATAAGAGAATTCCAGTTGATCCACATCCTTGCCAATATTTGCAATTGTCAGAAATTTTTTTCCCTACCTGGTGGCTGTGCTCATTTCTATATTGAATTATAACCACAAACAACAACATCACACAGAGCTTAACAGTTTGCAAACTTTTTAAATGTATAATATCTCGATGAATATTTCCTATAGCCCTAACAACTAAAACTTCTTACTTTTGGCCTATGAAAAACTCACAAAAAGTTTTAAAATATAGTTTTTGAGGCAGAGATTATAAATGCAAATCACAGATAATTAAAACACTTGGGGGGAGGGGAACCAAGGGCAACACACGTAACCTAAACATCTGTACCCCATAATATGCTGAAATAAAAAAAAAAAAACTCACAAAACATATTTTGACCTTCTTTATCAGATATTTCATGTCAAAACTGACTTTTTGTCTGAATACTTATCTCACTGAGACCAAAGAATATCTTCTGCCTCAATTACTTAGCTCATTTGGGATGTAAACCCAGCTAAGTGTACACTAGCACATCCCAAGGTGACCATGCATTTCATGGGTGCCATATTAAGGTATTTATAACTCAAGCCTGCTCTAAGAGACAATAAATTCATAGCATGTTGAAGGTATCTGAGAACTTCTCATAATACACAGGAGATGATCAGGTATAAAAAAAATATGTGTTTAATACAAGTTTCTGTCAAAGCCAACTTGATTTCTAGAACAACAAAAAAAGCCATGCAAATAAATCCTCTGAATATAATCATTCAAAAGTTTCCTCGAGGAAAAACATATTATAAATGTTTAGCTATAGCCATTTACCTTTTAGACTTGTTTCAATTCTACCAAAAAAAATTCACTTTTCAAGTTCAGACATGACTGTTGAAAATATATCCTGTCTCCAGTAGCAAATGAACATACCTTTCATGCATGTAGTCAACTCCCAGCAGCAGCTGGATAAACCATTCTATTATTTGATTTTCTGGAAATATTTTTCCAGCTTCTTTATATTCCTGAATTTTACAGTCCAGATCTCGGCCCTAAAACAAAATACCATAATCTTTCATATTTTTTTCAGTTAAGATTTTAAAATCAAGCTCTCTTAACAACAGTTAATACATAGTAATCACTGTATATCATAAGAAAGTGAGGACACACTGCCATTCTCTTCTCAACTAGGCTTTAATCTTGACCTATAAAGACTTGAACGAACGCTAATATAGTTTCTAACAACTCAAGGCCACATCCCTAAGATGACCCTAGCCCCCTTAAAGTGCCTGCCTGAGAAAACTCAGGACTGCCAAAAGAATGTACCCCTGAAGATAGGGCTCCCATCTCCCAGCCTCTGTGGAAGGGTAGGAGTCTAATTTTGATAAGCACCAGTTAGAGAACCGAGATGGGTTTCACATGGACTAACTCCTACTTTCAGATTTTTGTAATTTTTCACTTCCCTGACTCTGCTCAGGCCCTGCTGTTCCCTCTCCCTACTCCCTCATTCTCCCTGAACACCCAGGCACCTCTGCACAAATCAGAATGGAGCTCAGCTCTTTCCCCTAGTGTCAGTAGTTACACAACAAAATCTGTTTCATAGCTTAACTAATGTTCAGCTATTTTTATCTTTGACATCATTCAAGAACAAAACCCTTATAAAGGAGAAAAGTTATTATGTACACCTCCAACCTAAATTATTTTTATTACATTATCTAAATATTTACCCACATAAAACTAGGAATAACTTTAGATAATTATAAAAACCTAACATATATGTAAGTTAAAATATAAATCAATAAAATTCAAATCAGTGATATTAATTTAATATAAAGTGATAATGTTTGGTGAAACTAAATTTGCATTTACACTGTACATATGGTGCTACCTGCTGTAGTATGGATTCTTTTGAGTTTGGCATGCCCAGGCTACTATGAATCTTGGGATAACTGAATTCTCCTTTTCTCTATTTCTCAGAAATACAGCACTATTCATCTATGAGAGATCCCAGGTATATCATTTAAGCATTTAGTCAATCTCTGTCCTCCCGCTCACTGGTGATAAGTAAAATCATAATACATATTATTAAGGCCAAAAACTAACCATGATCACAAACGACCAACATCTAAAATTGCCTGGCAGTGTCTGATATAATACCCTTTCTGACTATGCCTGTGTTGATATATTTCAATTATCACAGAAATGAAAATACTAAATGTTATATTCTCTTAGAGAATCCTTATAACCTGATCCTTTTTACTGTAAAACACTGAAAAATTAGAGACAATCTGAGATGTGTTCCTCTGAAAAAAAGGATGGGCTAAATCTTTGCAGGATGCAAAACACAGGCCCCATAGAGAGTAGAAGAGATGTTTGCCAGGTCCATGGGGAGCATAATTGGAAAACATGAAGCTATTCACAGACTATTCATGACAGAGTTGTCATTAGATGCAAAGGAAAAGAATTTATAGGCAAATGAGACAATCCATGAGAAATTACTTCTAATCAAACAACATGAGGTCAACTGACTACTCACATGTAATGCATTTTTTATTTCCTTTCAGTGCAATGTGCAAATATTTGCTTAGCATTTTCTCTCCTTCCATGTAGGGCCATAACAAGTCAGAAGTATAGCAAACATTCACTTGCAGCCTAGCTCAAGCACACTTTCCTGCTAGATTTTCTGGGCTCAAGGAGATCATAACTTGCTGGAATTCAAAAATATAGTGAATTGAATATTTGACTCTTTGTCAAAAAGACCATTGTTTCCGTCTCACTCTCTTAACTTGACATTATATCACTTTCTTTTTAATCCTACAGTTTATTGGAATTCTGTTGGCCTCTGACGATGCTTCTATTCTCTCATGTTTCTCTTAAGATGCAAAAAACATTTTTTGGCAATAGATCATTCATTATAACATGTAGTAGACATGAAAGCACTTCAGATAAAAGGTGAAGTGTAAATATACAATTGACCCTTGAACAACACAGGTTTGAAGTGTGCAGGTCCATTTATAAGCAGATATGTTTCAACCAAACACAGATCGAAAATACAGTATTCACGGGACTGAAAACCCATGTACGTGGAGGGCTGACTTTGTCTATGTGAGAATTCTGCAGGGCCGACTGTGGAACTTGAGGATGAGTTGATTGTGGTACACACAAAGGGTCCTGGAACCAATCCCCCCGCATATACCAAAGAATGACTATATATGTTTTTCCAATCTCAGTTTTCATTTCCATCCAAGAGGACTCTAGCAAAGCTTTCTCTTATATGAAAAAAAAAATGAAGTTAAAGCAAGATCATCTTTCAATATCTCCTTTAGTTTCTTTGATATGGTAAAACATCCAGTCCCTGAAAGATCATTCTTTTACATGCCTTCCTAAATGGCTTCAGATAAGGAGGAAAAAAACAGAGAGAGAGAAAAAGGGAGAGAGAGGGAGGAAGGAAGGAAAAGAAAAAGAAAAACTTGCCTTAAAGAAATATTAATGAAGCTGTCTGCTAGCTTCTTATATCAACCCAATGTTTATTACTTTAGAAAGACCATACATAAGCACAATTGTCTCTATGAATATGGCCTTTGTATAAATAATTGCCTGCTCCAATTGTCATGTTAAATGAACTTAAACTTGGCCTGAGGGTGCCTCCTCACCTTGAGTTCCTACATAGCAAACTGCAACCTAGCTTAGCATATAAATGAACCAAAATCTAACTAAGAATATAACAAACAGCTGAGTTTCAACCAATCACAGGCAGCCTAATCATCACACCATACCCAAATAAGGCACATGCCTACTTGTAGCCAATCAGGTGACTTCTGTATTCTGTTTATACCTGGCCCACAAAGGCTAGCTGCTCTTCCTGCTGGGCAGAGCTCTCTGAACGTCCTCTGATTCTGAGTTCTGCCTGATTCATTGCCGGGAGTTAGCTACTCTCCCAGCAAAACAGGCCGCAAGGCAGGATCGTCACAAGGGATTTGCAAATAATGGGAAATAAAGATCTAATATAGATGGAGAAATGATTGAGACAGAGATAAAGTGCTGTTTAAATGATGGGGGAGTTAGGGAGTCTCCAGCATTCCCGTGAGCTGTGAGCAATGAGTGAAGTCCCACATCAGTATTTATTGTTATAGCAAATAGTTGTTTTTTGTTAGAGAATTATGTGTACAGCTCATTTTTTAGGTTTCCAGGGGAACCTTACCTAATTCTGTCTACAAGAATAGAAGGTTACAAAATTTTTCCAAGATAAGCATGTTAAGCCCTAAGTTAGAAACAGACCTAGCTGAGCATACAAATTAAAGATAAAATGTATAAAATGAGAACACTGAGTCTGTGTACTACTCTAATCTACTTCTTCTAAACACAGAGACATGTAGTCAGGAATGAAGCAGGAATAGCCTTGAGGTCTAGGATAGTCCCAGCTGCATGTTATCTGCTGGTCCTGGCATGTGGCTAAAATTTTTTAATGAAAACTATAAAATCTGTTTTTGTGTATATGTCTGTGTATGTCAGTATGTATGTTATATATGTGTGATATTTTTCTACTTCTTTATGGTATTGCCAAAATTAAATTGTGAAAGAGATCTATTTAAAGAAAAATAAGTGCTTATATAAAGTATTCCTTAAACTCTTAGAAACTAACCTAAAATGTTTTCCAAGTGCACATAATCTGGGATAATCTTTGGTAAATAAAAGCTAGTAAAACTGTGTTGGTTTGATTAAAACAGGCATGTCTTCAGAGTTTTCAGCATTAAGTGTAATACAGATGTCCTTTTCTTACCTAGGTTTATTTGGTAAAATAAGTTCATATTATCTCTACATTACAAAACTTATCAGCAAGAAAAATGAGGTATAGAGGGCTGTTTAATGTCTCATCTTCACAAGCATTCTAAGCATAATTGTTTAAAAAAAGATTTAAATAAGATAAAATACCCATGTGAAGAATGTCCTTCCTATACCAAAAGGTTTTATTTAACATTCTTATCACAAAGGACGAAAAGTTGAGGCTGAGGGAAATCTGTACAAACAACAATTTAATTCTCAGGCCTAGCCAAAACCAAACCAAAACAAAGCAAACCCTAAGAGAATAGAGATAAAATTGTGCCTTTTCTACAGTTTCTTATTACAGAGAGACTAAAGATTTTGAGGACTGTTGGTAAACATTCTGTACCACACTGAAAAATTGTATTATGAAAAAGTATATGTCCTACAGATTACTGGAAATATACAACCTCCTCAAGTTCACCCAGGAGGAAATAGAATTCCTGAATAGATCAATCTCAAGCACAGACATTGGAGCAGCAATTAAAAACTTTCCAAAAAGGAAAAGTCCTGGACCAGATGGCTACACTTAAGAGTTTTACCAAACACACAAAGAACTCATACCTATACTACAGAAATTATTCCACGACATTGAGAAAGATGGTATCCTCTCTAACTCATTCTACAAAGCCAATATCACCTTGATACCAAAGCCAGGAAAGGACACAACAAAAAAAGAAAACTACAGACCAACAGCCCTCATGAATATAGATGCAAAAATCCTGAACAAAATTTTAACAAATTGAATTCAGCAGCATATCAAAAAAATAATTCACCATGACCAGTTTGGCTTTATATCAGAGATACAAGGCTGTTTCAACATATACAAATCTATAAATGCAATTCACCTCATAAATAAAAGCAAGAACAAAGACCATGTGATTCCCTCAATAGATGCAGAAAAAGCATTTGACAAAGTCCAGCACACCTTTATGATAAAAACTCTTAACAAAATAGACATTGATGGGACATACCTTAAAATTATCAAGGCCATCTATGATAAACCCACTGCCGATATCATACTGAATGGGGAAAAATTGAAACCATTCCCACTCAGAACCGGAACCAGACAAGGCTGCCCACTATCTCCACTTCTATTCAACATAGTGCTGGAAGTTCTTGCTAGAGCAATTAGACAAGATAGGGGAATTAAGGGCGTCAAAATGGGGGCAGATGAGATCAAACTCTCGCTCTTTGCCGATGATATGATATTATATCTAGAAAACCCCAA